AATTAGAAATAATTGGAGACATTCTAAAAACCATTGAGGTTAAGCATTTTTTAAAGGATGTGTTTATTGCAAAGATGACCGAGCTATGATAGAGCCTGATAGAACTAAAAGGGCTTTGTTTAATACCACCTGACTGAAATGCTATGTTACACATATTTTTATATAGCATGTTAGACATGCAAAATGAGAACAGGACTATGAGAAGGATGGGGGCATTGAGACAGAATCTTTTAATTGCTTCCTGATTGCCTAGGTCAAATGCTGAATATGATAAAAAGTCAAAGCAGAAGTACTAGGTTTTCCATTTGATTCTCCCTCATGCTGTTCTTTGAATGGATTTGGAGAAGCTTTGGCTAGTTTTTTGGGGAGAAAAGGCTTGTTAAGTCTTCCTAGTTCTGGGCCTGGAAGGTCCGAATATGTTGTAAGACTACCAATTATTTTAGGAGAAATATGTGAGTATATTCTGTAAATATTCCCTTTTTACCCTAATCAGCAGAAATCACTGAGCTCCACTTTGCTTTCTACCTTCCTGATAGTTAATTAGCTCACTAAGTTAATTTTGTGCTTATCAGTCCAAAGCAAGAGGAGCATGAAATTAATTTAGAGGCCAAATCTTGCTTTTCTTACTCGATCAAATTCTTCTTGATTACCGTGAGGGATTTGCTTAAGTTAGGACAGAGTTCAAATTGGGCCAGGACTTCAGGATTTGGCCCAGTAGGTACTAGTTCCATGTAACATGGTATTTTGTTTTCATTTTCTCCATCCTCCCCCCACCTCCAAATGGAGCCACAATGAGACAACTCCATAAAGACAGCAGGCACCTTCTGTAATTCCATTGATTTCAGGAGTGAAAGTAGCACAATGCTTTTAGAGTATTTTAGGGTTCCATTCCTGGCACTACCACAGTTGTTTCCAAGATTCTATTTTACTGGCATTTTCTCATAGTAGCAATGATAGGCATTGTCTATTCTGTTTTGCCACTAGACATCCTTTTTCCCAGTACAGGCACCCTCTAAACTTGACCAGTGCCAAATCAGAGAATATGCTGGACTATGGGAGGTCAATAACGTCTAGCAGCATTACTAACACTTCCATGGACTGGTGGCTGTAAATAAACTTTAGGGAACTGCAGGAAAACTGGCCACACCCATGTTAAGTGGACATCCGGCTAATTAAAATAATACCAGACCACGGATGTTGCCAGAACAGAGAGTGCCAGATTAGAGAAGTTCAACCTGTAATGCCATTTGGTTTTAGGCTTGGGAATTCCTCCCTTGCACCCCTCTCCTCTGCTTAAGTAATAATATAGCTCCTCCTCCACCTCTTTTCTTCTCTTCAAAGTATAGCAAATCTTAACCTTCTGAACTAGCCACACAGAATCTTCCATGAACAGTTTGCAGCCACACTGAAGAGAGACAGGCTGGATTTATTAGGGATGTTCTTTCTCCTTAGTTTCTTCCTTGTACTTCATTCTGCCACCTGAGTCCTGCTTTATTTGCTCTCAGCCAGTGATAAATAAACCAACTCCACTTAGAAAAGACTCAAGCCAGAGCCTGAATTTCCCCTTGTCTAAGTTCTTCCTCTGCAGAGTCACTGAGGCTATGTCTAGACTGCAGGCTTCTTTCGAAAGAGGCTCTTTCGAAAGCATCTTTCGAAAGAGCCTCTTTCGAAAGATCGCGTCTAGACGGCAGGCGGATCTTTCGATAGAGAAATCCGCTTTTTCGAAAGAGAGCACCCAGTGAGTCTGGATGCTCTCTTTTGAAGAAGCCCTATTTACATTGAAGAACGCCTTCTTTTGAAAGAGGAACTTTCGAAAGAAGGCGTTCTTCCTCGTAAATTGAGGTTTACCGCCATCGAAAGAAAAGCCGCGTTCTTTCGAAATAATTTCGAAAGAACGCGGCTTGAGTCTGGACGCAGGGGAAGTTTTTTCGGGAAAAGGCTACTTTTCCCGAAAAAACCCCTGAGTCTGGACACGGCCTAAATATTTCCCACTCTCCTGTTTCTTTTTCTCTCTTCCCCCCTCTGTTTTGCACTGTTCAAAGGGCCACTATTGAAGGATGTTACAATAAAAATGAGTGGCCTGATTTGCAGAGCTGCTGAGTACCCCAAATCCTCATTAAACTCAGTGAGGACTCAGCTCCTGTGAAACAGAGATCAGAAATGTCAAGCTTTACAAAGCAAAAATTAACAAAAACACCCTTTTCCCACACCATCTCCTTCCTGCCCCTCATGGGTTGATGGACATTCCCCTTTAGGAGGCATTTACATATGACAGTTTCTGAAGCCAGTCAGAATTGGCTTTATTGATGCACCTGGGATCCCTTCAGGGATCTAATTTGCAGCATGGGATTTTGTAATTTCATGCTAGACCAACAGAAAATGGATGACTAACTCATCCAGAAGGAAGGCATTATATAACAGGAGAAAAGAAGAATCTGTAGTGACAGTGAAGAGCCTTTGGAACAATCACATTGTTAGTTTTGGAATGCGGTACACCCTCTAACCGGGTTTAAACAACAAGAAAATAAGTTGCATGTTGGGGTGGGGGGGAAGGAGGAAGAAAATAGACCAGTATTAATAAACCTCCTCTTCTAAATTCATTTGGACAAAAATTAAGCATACTTATTGTATATTGTTGAATATAAATACCATATATTGTCCAAGTATCTTCTCATTAGTCCCAGCTTTCTTTTGAAGAGGCTCTGAGAAGGATACCTGCTCTGACACACACAGCATCTATAGTACCACTGGAGAACCCCAGTTAACAATTCCAACCAGTGGGACTTTTGGCTCAGGGATGCATCCAGTGTGGTATAGGTCATGTCAGGGGAGCAATACATTTGTATTTTTACGTGCCGTCACTACACTTTGTCTAGTTCAGAGCAGACCTTGGTTCAGAGCAGAGCTTTGTCAATGAAGAGCTGTGGGTGATCTTTTGGAATCAGGCCTTGGAAGGGTTTGCTGACATCTCATGGAAAACTTCAAAAGATGCCGAGCCAGATGATGGGGCTCCACAACTCAATTATGCAGTGGAATAATGTAATGGGACTTGGACAGCCTCATGGCTGGTCATAGGAGCAGTGCATACAGTCCTATACTGACTACTTTGCTGCACCTACATAGGAACCTATCAGGGTAGGGCTGGTGGGAAGAGGAGGAGCAGCAATACTCAGAGCTACAGCTATTTGAGCTGACGAGCAGTCTGTAGGCATTGTGGGAAGAGACTGCATAAAGTACAGCAGTTTTGGGTCTGCTCTAAATTTATTTTTAGGCCTGCTTCAGCTCCCAGCCAAGCCTGGAACCTGGAAGCCCCTCTTTCCCCCAGCTGCACCCTTTCTCTTTAGTCTCTCAAAAGAGAAAGCACAAGATCTGATCTGTGTAGAAATCATTTTGGTAAGGATAACTTACTGGTCTTTGCATCAGGTTTGAAGCACCTAAGATTTCTAATCAGTGCTTTTCTGTGTGATGGTACTGGTGATACGCAGTACCAGCACCTCCAGTCAGAGCTCAATAACTTTTCCCCTGGAGTACCGGCACCTTTTTTTTTTTTTTTAAACAAAAAAGCACTGTTTCTAATACACCAGAGGCAGATAGATCAGATCTCGGTGAGGGATTTTATATTAAACCTTTAAACCAGGATCCTGCTAGCTTGCAAATGCCATGCTTCAACTTCCATTTCTTCAGCCTGAGGAGCTGAAGGCAATGGATCTTCCTTCCTAGCCTGGTTGAAGCGGTCACCAGCTGAGCTGATGAATTGCCTCCAACTACCATCTTCAGTGCTTTAGGCTCTATTAAGTCAGAAGAGGCGCCTCTTTATTTTCAGGGTGCCCTCTCTTTGTGTGAGATTCCATATCTGAATTGATATTGAATGTTATTCTCAATGAAGTGTGTGTTTTCCTTCCAGGTGGAACGGTCTCTTGCCATGTACTACAAGGCCTCCATGTACCAATGAATATTCCCTCTGGTCAATATATGAGTAAATGGGAACACATTCTTTACATCTCCATACCATTATGATCTTTTATCATAACCCCAGTTATAAGTCTTCTCCCCAAACCATCCTAAAATGAAATCCTAGCCCCACAGAAGTCAATGGCACCAATATTTTACCTCTAATCTCTTTTGATGTCATTATTGATGATTTTCCATATCACAAATAATGTTTGTCACAAGACTCTGGAATCTTTTGTATTTCTGCTGCATTTTTGTGATGATGGATGACCAGAATTGAACACAATGCTGCAGCTGAGGACATATCACTTATTTAAGGAAAGGCATTCTAACTCAGTTTATTATTTTCTATCCCATTCTTTCTGCAACCTAACTTTCCCCCTTTCTCTTTAACTGCCATTGCACATTGAACAGAGTTTTTTATTGAGCAGTACACAGTGAGGTCCAGATCTGTTTCCTAAGTGGTTATCGTTATCCCCAAGCACGGCAATGCACATGAGTAGATCAAATTATTCTGTTCAATGTCCATTTCTTTTCATTTGTCAAAGTGAATTCCATTTGCCATTGTGCTGCCCAAATGTGCTGCCTTGTGTTATGTTCCTTTGGAATTTCTCAGCCTTCACTAACCTACATAATTGTGTGTCATCTGAAAATATTGCTACTTCACAGTTCCTACTGTTTCCCAGATCATTAATAAATATATTAAGCAACAGTAGTCCTAGTATGAAGCCTTCAGTCACTGCTCTGTTAATCTTTAGCTGTGTTGGGAACTGACCATTTATTTCTGCTCTTTGTTTACTATTTCCTAGTCAGCTTCTAATCAATAACAGAACTTTACCACTCACCCCTTTGCTACTTTGTTTCCTTAAAAGTCTCCTTTAAGAGTTTCAAGTGTACAGGAGGAGCAGCTGGTTGAATCATGGGATTGTGACATCAGAGTTCTGTCATGCTCTTAACAGGATGAAGGTTCTCAAGGTATGCCAAGGTTCATTCCGGTCAGAGTCAACAGCCTCACTTGATTGCTCCATAAACACCCTCAAGCCAAGCAAATGGAGACTTCCTTGATTCACAACCTGTCTACTGCAAACAAAAATTTACAGAATCAAATATGGGATCTCAAAGAAGCCGCTGTAGAGCTTGATGCCGAAAACCAGAAATTGATGAAAGATAACAAAGAGATAAAAGAAGAGAACAGGAGACTGCAAGCCAGAGCAGACTGTTTCAAGACATTAGTGGAAGACCTGCAAAGAGAAGTAGACAATGCCAGGGAGATGGTGGAAGGAAGAGAAGACAGAATTAATACATTAGAATTCCAAAATAAACACCTGGAGAAAATAAACGAACAACTAAACATGGAAATCATGGAAATGGCCTGCCAGATTTCTGCGTATCATGATATTGACCAGGAAAAAGACACATGTGGGGTAAGAAACATAATATATGAAAACAAGCAGTACCTGAAACATCTAGAGACCAGTCTAGAAAATGAACAGCATCTGTATGAAAAGGAAAAGCTTGAAACACACCAGTTAAGGAAGACATTGGAAGAACTTGATAAAACTGGGGAGTCTCAGAAAAATGACATCACGCAACTGGACGGGCAGCTGGTAACGTCAACCGAGGAAACATCATCAATGAGGGTGGAGAATGAGGACAAGTTTCAGGCTGGTTCATTATTGAGGCAGGCTGTTGAAGTCAAGTCGGGGGAGAACTTGCTTCACAGTCCTAAGAAACACAATTTCCTCTGTTACATTTGGAATCTCTTAAAGCTCTTGCTCATAATAATGGCTTGGTTGGGACTTGCAACAGCTTTGGTATTATTATACACTTATGTGTTCAACAACAATTTTATATCTGACAACCTACCACGATGGGTTAGTGACCATGACCTAGACATGCTGAGACAGATCTTGTCTCCGTATCTTATCTGGAAAAATGATGGACTGTTGCCATTTTGAGCAAAGCTGCATAGCTCAGCTTAGCTCTCCATGTCAGCTTAATTGACTCTATTTCAGTGCCTTCATGCATGAGTTCAGCTCCACATTAAGATAATACCCCTTTATAAATTTTTATTTTAGAAATCCAAATAAACTAGGTAATTCAGGTCTCCTTTTGCCAATGTCTGGCTCACATACAAAGAATTCCGGTGGAGTGGAGAGGTAAGATTTCACTTTACAGCAGCCATGCCCATTTGTCTCTCTCATACCATGACTGCTTAAGCATTTTATAATCCTCTTTCAACCAATTTTCCTGGTGCTTGATGATCTGTAATTCCCATGATCATCCAAGCAAAGGAACCAGTAGCTCAGAAATGAAGAGAGAAGAGGAAGGCTGCTTCACTGCTCTGAGATCATTTTTGTGTGGATACAAAACAGTTTTTATAGAAAACAAAAACTTTTCCCCGTGTAGACGAGTCCTTATTTCTAGAGAGGACCTGGTGATGAGATTAGACTGCAAATCTCCAGTATGATGGTTCTGCAGACTATTGAGCAAAAGTAACACATACTTTTTGCCCAAGTAAGCATGAATGTGTTGTACTTCAGTATGCACTTCATCATGGAAAGAGAAAGCTCTATAGCCATCATAACATGTTTTTTATAACAGCAATGAATATATTTCCCTTAAAGGTGCACATAACAGAGGGCCCAGTACCACTGCCTCTTATGTCAATAGCAAACTGGGCGTTTTGGTAATTATCTACCTCCAGTAAAAAAACAGGGGAGCACTTCTTGCCTCGGGCAAGGGAACATAACATTTAGTTTGTGCTAATCTGGCTGAGATTGGGTTAAACGGGATACTTGATTCTGGAATTCACTTCCTTTTTGGTCTTCCGGTCGCTACATTTGTTCATTGCAAAAATCTATTTCCTCAGGTTTGGAGGAAGGGTGTGGAAGGAGTTTAGAGATGTGGATGAAGGGAGAGTATACAGCTGTATGGGTTAGGATTACATTTTCATTATGGACATTAGTTCAGCCTGTGCAATGTTTTTACATTAATACATTTTGTATGTGCATCTAAAGCAATGAACAGAGGCTTTTTAGCGAAAACAAAGCAAATGTCATTTTTGTGGAAAGAAAATCCTAAAGACCAATATGGCAATGAGCCAAATGGCAGCCATCTTGAGGCTTCAGAATTATCCCTGACTTTTATGCACCAAGCAGATACGCCAACCCTGCCAAGCAGATGCTAGCAAATAAACAGTCAACTGAACAAACTTGATACCAAAGAGAATCTGAAGGGGAAGGAGAATTGTGACACCACAGCATCACTTTTGCCAGGAGATATGTGCAGTGAGTGGCTGGTAGTAGTAGAGGCAGGAAAAAATTCCAAAGATGAAAGGGCAGCAAAACCCCTTTAATCTCCTTCCCTCTTAGATTGTGTGACAAGGAAGAAAAGGTTGTGTGGAACAAGGAAAGAAAGAGATAATCTGGGAGGAAAGAGGGCAGGTGGAAAGCATGAAGATAATTTCACAGGTAAGGTGAAGTAAATAAAAAGATGGTCTTATGTTTAAGATGTTGAAGCAAGACTCTGCCGCTTGTTTCTTTGGTTATGTCAGGAAAATCAGTTAATCTCTGTGTCTGAGTTCTCAATTTGTAAAAAGGGGTAATAATATTCTATTTGCCTCTTGTGTGTATTTAGATGCTAAATTATTTGGGTCAGTGATGTCTCAGGGGTATGTGCAGTGCTTTGACAAGGGGACCCAATCGTAGTTGAGGTCTTTTTGTTTCAAGCATGATGCATAACAGTGAGAGGTGAACTACAAAAGCTGAAGTTGTCTAAGATGCAGGAAACTGCAATTTGTCAGTTGTGAATTAAAAAGACTACCTTCACTTAGTCACCCCTAGCTATGGTGTGCCATAGGTTGTGAAGCAGAACTCTCCACTCCAGTCAATTGGTTGCATATGTTCACCAGAGAGAGGGTAATAGCTGGAAAACAGGGAGACAACAGATTTGCTAGACAAGGTGGGGAGGGACTGTCTCTGTGCTCCCTCAGAGCTGTCCAGAGCACGCTGTGTGGGGCTCTGACAGCCATTTAAAGGGTCCGGGGCTCTAGCCACTGCTAGTGCCACAGTAGCAGTGGCAGCAGTTGGGAGCACCTCGCCCTTTTCAATTTCCAGAGCCTGGGGTAACTACCCCTTTGCTCCCTCTCACCGCATCAGCAGGGCTGCAGTGATTAAAAATTAAGAAGGTGTAAGATAAAACCTGACCCACGTCCTGCTGCAGCCTACACCCAGAACACAAGAGTTATCTGCTACTTTCTCAACAATTTACACAAAACTCTAATGGGCTTCTGAGGTCAGCTGTCAGCACAAGTAGCATTTCAGCATTGCAAATGTGTTTTAAGTATTGTTGTCCTTTCTCAACCCAAGTGTCGAGTCAAAGTTCAGGACCGTGGGGATGTCCTAGTTGTAAGCGGAAATTGATGGAGCCTGGTATTTTCTTTGACACAGTCTTATTTATTTACAAGGAATGTGCCAAGTCCCATCTCTCCAAAAGCAGAAGCCACCAAGAACAATAGGGATGGTTTCTTTGCTTATAGTCAACAAACCTCATTAGCCAACACCAGACTCTAAAGCTTTCTCTGTTTTGCTCACTTTTTCCAGAGTCACACTGTGCTAACAAGCTTCTTCTTGCATTTCTTGCCTCTCCCTCTCTCTCTGTTCTGGTCTGTTCTCAGGGCAAGTATACGCATAAAACACTGCATCGGTGTAGCTGTGCTACTGTATCACTTAAATGAAGATGCTCTAAATCAATGGGAAAGAGAGATCTCCTGTCAGTAAAGCTACCATCTCTAGGGAGGTGAATTAGCTGTGTTGATTGGAAAAGGTCTCCTGCCAACAAATCACTGTCTATACAGGAGATTAAGATGGTACAGGTTGAAACTCTAAAATCCAGTACTCTGGTCCAGCAGGTGTTTCCATTGCAGGATCCATTGCAGTCCACATGCTCAGTAAGAATCACATTTTCAGCAGCAGCAGCTATTGCCTTTAATTTTTTTTTTAACGTTTCATATATCTTTGCATACACTAGTTGGCCTGAACCAGCTTTTCTGAATGTGACCTATTTAATTTTTGTTGGTTGGTTCATGGGCATTTCTGGAATTAACACATTTCAGAGACTTCCTCACACACAAGATGTTAGCGAGAGCTTATAGGATTGCTACAGAAATACACGGGTATGCTCTGATCATGTGATTCCCACTTGCTCTGTATTAATTCCTGGTTTCTCAGAAAATATATGGGATTGGAGCACGATTTCTGTTTCTATTGTAGGAGAGCTCATTGGGGATTGGGACTGCCACACATTGTGCTTCGCACCATACCACCCTATTAAAAATAATCCCTATCCTAAAGAGTTTTAAAAACAACAAATAGTCTAGTAGTACCTTAAAGACTAACAAAACATGTAGATGGTATCATGAGCTTTCATGGACATAGCCCACTTCTTCAGATGAAGTGAAGTGGGTTGTGCTCCCTCATGCTCATGATACCATCTACGGCTACGGCTACGGCTACCCTACATGCTCCTCGTGCAAGAAGCCTTTTGCACAAAAACTTCTTGCACAAGAGCACATCCACACTGCATGGATGCTCTTGCGCAAGAAAGCTCTGTGAATGGCCATCAGAGCACTTGTGCTTTTTCCTATAGGGGTTTCTGGCACAAGAAATCCCTCTGGAGCATCCATACAGGCCTTTTTGCACAATAGCTGTAGCGCAAAAAGGAGTTATGCCTTGTAAAAGGAGGTTTACCTATGCCGGAAAAGCCCTCTCTTCTGCCATTTTACTGTTGATTTACTTGTGCAAAAGTGCATTTGAGTGGACTCTGCATGGGTATTTGTGCAAAGACAGCTAGTTTTGTGCAAAAACCTTGCAGTGTAGACAAAGCCTACATGTTTTGTTAATCTTCAAGGTGCTACTACACTATTCGTTGTTTTTTAAGTTTTTCCAGTTACAGACTAACTCGGATACCCCTCTGAAACTAAAGAATTTAGATCCTTAATAGACTGGGGAAATAGTCTCCTTGGTTTACACACAGCAAAGTGAGGCAGACAGAGAGTAAGTCTTTTATCCAAAATGACACAGGAAGTCTGTAGCAGAACTAGAGTTGCATGCAGATCTCATGAACTTTAACCTCAAGACCAACATGCCCCTCTATAAGTCTACGTCATAGATTTTGCCTCCCCTCGAACACTCATCCAACCAAATTCTAAGGAAATTCTGGTCCAGCTAATGGCCAGAGCTCAAAAAAGGGAGCTGGGAACACTGTGGTATGTTTAATGATGGACTTTTCCTGAACTCGGAGAACTTCAGGGTCAGGGCTGATTTTGATCTGAACTCTGCAGCTCAGGCCTATTTCTACACGTGATTGTGACTCTGCCACTGAAGAGTGGCAGAGTCACACTTAGGGTATGTCTAGACTGCATCCCTCTGTAGGCAGAGGGATGCAGATTAGGCAGGTCGACATTGCAAATGAGGCAGGGATTTAAATATCCCGTGCCTAATTTGCATAAAATGGCCGCTGCATTTTCCCAACTCAGCACTTTGTTGGCAAAAAGCGGCAGTCTAGAGGGGGATCTGTCGAGAAAGAATGCTTATGCCTCCTGCAAGAGGGATGCAGTCTAGACATCCCTTAGGGCCAGGGTTTAGCTCCTCCTGCATGGGGG